CATGTGTGCATACGTAGAGGAATTTGTTCTTCTAATATATATATGCAACATAGGCCCCAAATGCAGCAGTAGCAGCAGATTCAGCAGCAGCAGCAGCAGCAGGGGTAGCAGCAACAACAGTAGCAGCAGCAGCAGCTGCAGCGGTAGCAGCAACAACAGCAGCAGCAGGAGCAGCAGCAAAAACAGCAGCAGCAGCGAGAGCAGAAGACTGTATATGTGTGTGTGTGTGTGTGTGTGTGTGTGTATGTACACCTGAGGCTAGTGTTATTATATTTGTATGGGCCTTGCGCCTGCTGCAATTGCTGTATACATAAATGTATATTTGTGTTTATTAGAGGGATATATTAATATTATTAATATTTATTTATTTGTATGTTATACTATTCGTATTATTAGTGTTTATTTGTTTGTATTTTTATACTAAAAAAAAACAAAAACAGAAAACACACCAACAGCAACACACACAGCAGGGGGCGGACAGGTGACCCTGGCTAGAGCAACCCCATCATATATTAGGGGGAAAATTTTATATTCAGAGTGTAAATAATATTGTAAAAATAAATTAAAAATAATATTTTTATTTTAAATTATTTATTTCGTTTTAGTTGAGTTGCTGGGGTGTATCTGCAGCTCACGAGACACCCGAGAACACACCGACGGTGCGGCGGTGGTAGGGGGGGGAGAGCGGCTGTTATTGCTCTTTCTGTGTGCTAATTAAATCATTTTAATTGTTTTATTTCAGCAAAAATAAATAAATTAAATAAATATAAATTAAATAAATTTAATTTAATTATTTAGAGAGGCGAAGAGCCGAGAAAGAAGCACCGCAGCAGCACAAGGAGAGAGAGAAAACGGTCCGCTGCAACACCAGCGAGCAGGCGCTGTATTCTGAGCTTTCTGTTGTTTTATTTATTTGTATTTATTATTTTTTTGTCTTAATTTTGTTTTTATTTTTGATTCTGCTATTCTTTTTATTCTTTATGAGATAAAAATACACGCTTTCCCTCCCCCCGCTGGGGTGTACAGGCAGCTCCGTGTCAGTCCGTGCGCTGCTGCGGCGCCAAACACCAACACCACTGGTCCTTTAGCTGTTCTTCTTTTTTTGAAATTATTTATTAAAAATTAAATATAATTAAATTTATTCTTTAATTCCACTTTTTGTCAACAACCCCAGAGAAATACACGCACGGCTGCAGCGCGGCGTCTGCTGCTCCCTGTTGCCTCACACAGTTCTTTGTTTCTTCTTTTTTTTTTTTTTGTATTTTGTCTTCTTTTAAAATTAAAAATGGGTAACCTTGAGTCTACCCTGAATACAGAGGCGTCGCCAGCACCACCAACATCAACAGAACCACCAGCAGCACCAGCAACCCCCTCCGCCGCCGCAGCAGCAGCAGCAGCAGCAGGAGAGGCCCCCTGTACTTTCGGTGGGGGCCCCCACTGCAGCGGCTCCCCGGTGCAGCGAGAGGGGGGGGGCCCCCTCCAGCCCCCCGCCCGTCTACCCAAGCTCGACCCCCACAGTGCGCTGCTGGGGAGGCCCCCCTCAACCAGCCCCCCTCTCCCCGTGCAGACGGCAGCAACCAGTCTCCCCGCTTCTATACAGGGGACGGAGACAGACACAGACGTGGGGGCCCCTACCCCCAGCCCGCGAGAGAAAGGGGGGGGCCCCTGGGCCCCTCCATGGGGCCCCCCACCCTCACAAGACGAGGCGGAGTTGCTATGCCCTACACCGTATCAGAGCCTCTCTGTAGATCAGGGGGCCCCTGGGGGGCCCCCAGGGGCCCCCTGGGGGGGCCCCTGCACGATAGCTGGGCGGCAGCATATGGCGAATTTCGGTGAGGCTGTTGGTAGGGCCCTTACAGTTGGTGGGGGGCCCCCCAGCTGCAGCTCTCGTGCTGCTGCTGATAGCAGCAGCAGCACGAGGTTCTCTGTACCCCCTTCTCTTCTAGCTTTAGATGACCTCATCCGCAGCAGCCTGGGGGGGCCCCCCCACCCAGGGCTACACACAAACAGCCCTGCTGCAGCAGCAGCAACAAGCAGCAGAAGCGCCAAGGTGGGCCCCTACGTTGCTCTTAATAAAGAAATATATGGGACCCTCAAGAGGGGCCCCCGGGGGCCCCCCTCATCCACCAGTACCGGCGAAGGCTGCAACACTGAGGAGGGGGCCCCCACAGGGGGGCCCCCCATGAAACGCAGTAACCGCGAGGCCCCTACAGAGACAGAAGGGGGGCCCCCTAACTGTCTATCCAGGCCTTGTGCAACACCCAGCAGCAGCAGGATAGACTGTCCCCTTCACGCGTTGCAGCAGCTGTCTCCTCGTCTACACGAGTGTTCGGAGGTAATAGCCCGCACACTGCTGCAGCAGGGGCCCCTACGGGGCCCCCTCTCGAGGACATCCCCTGGGGGCCCCCAACCTCATCCGGGTGTACAGACACCATGCACGATGTCTCTGCTGCACTGAAGCGGCTGGAGACCTCCATAGAACACTTCTCTCGGGTCCTCGCCAACTGCAAGGGGCAGCTGAGGCCTGAGGAGATGGGGGCCCCCATGGGGGCCCCCTTGGGGGGGGCCCCCT